TGTGGCGTATATAAAGTGCATTTTTCAACTATTGCCAATATTTTCAATGTGATTTAGTTTATTTTGTTGATCATAAAGTTTGAGAGCTATTTTGGTATCTGAAGCAAATTCATTAAACTTCCTCTGTGAAAATGTCTGGACAAATCAAATAAATATTTGACTTGTATGTCCAAAGACTTCAGAAGGGGATGTATGTCACAGTTGTATGTGGTAAATTCATGCTGTCTTTTTATAGAGGTTTTTACTTCAAGACTGTTCATTTGGTCTAATATGGGATTGGTGATAATGAAAAGTACCAAGTTGTTACAAACCCAGTTGTTTGTGTAGCAGCTCTGCGAGCTTAGGTTTTTGTTGTCTTTTTCCTTTCACTGTATAATTTCTTCAGTTTTATGCCACATAGTCGTTTTGCTGTTGAACAGTAATAGAGTTTCTCCTTTGTTTATACACATGCTGACTGATCTGGTTTGGTGCAGTGAAATAAGCAAGACTGAAGTGATTATCTTCCAGTTCATGGAGCAGCTGGTGCTTAGGTGTTAAAATCATTAATTTAGGTGCTTGATTGAAACTTGAAGTTTGGATGTTGAACTGCTGTACTGCTTTGGCTGGTACCAAGGAGGATCTTTCCAGCACACAGGGGTTGATCTTCTTTCCCTGTTGCCTATGCTACTGTATTATTCCATGATTTATGGAGTAAAAAGTCATCTGCTCTAGAATGGCTTTCAGCTGTGACTTCCAGTCACTTGTTGGTTTCCCACTATGATAGTAGGAAGGGAAAACTTTACTAAGTTTCTGTTATTTCTGGAACAATGCTCAGGGTTTTCTAATTACCAGATCCTTGTCTTTACAACTGCATCTGCGTGTTTATTTGAGTTTCTGGTGCACTGTAAACCCAGGAGATTTGAAAGGCTGTTTGTCTCTGTAGTTCTCTCAGTACTGGACTAAAACATACTCAAAAATGCTGGAGATTACAGAGGAAAGTAAGTGGATGTTGCATGTTCTTGTGTCTAAATTCCAATGGCACAAGTGCCCTCAAAGATAAAGTAAGCTAATATTCTAAGTCTGGTGTAGATACTGCAGACTAATACTGCTAATACTGTTCTGTGTATCACTGGAGTAATGTAGGTTGAAGGCAACTGATGAGAGATTGCACAAACTGCATGCAAAGCTCTTATTTAATTGTATAACTATCTCAAGTTCCAGTAATCTCGAAATGTATAACTTAATGTGTTCCTGTGAAAATATTTTAAGAGATATTTCCTCTACTCCCTTCAGCATGTTTAAGAAGGGGTTTTCTAGAAGTACGATAACTATCTAACCCATTTACTATCTTTTTCTAAATAGGAAAAGATAACCAATGTGGAGTACTATCAAAACATGATTATTTTTTTTTTTTCATTATGTAACTTCCATCTGTAATAGTGATTTTGGGTGCTACTTTTGACTCCAGAAGCAGAATTTTCCAGCTGATGTGGTCTTGGCTCTGTTATTTCAATAAGCACATAAGAAAATGTATCTGGAAATGCCTGTGTGTTTAGAGGGAAAGACTTTTACTTCAAAAGGAATGGAACAAGTCTGTCAGAAATGAGCTTCATGTTCCTAGCTTAAATGTGTACTTAAGTTCTTGCACATACATTTGGCTAAAGTTTGTACTATGTGTCTCATCTGATTATGTGTGAGCAGCCAAAGATAGAACACTGCTGCAGCCTGTGTGCATCTAAGTCATAAGTCTGAAGAAGTTTTGCAAAACTGCTCTCAGAGATTTGGCGTCTCAACTGGTCAAACCACTGTTCAGAATCTAGGACTCATTGAAAACCTTTTATTTTTTGAAGAGACCATTATTAAGAACATCTATATGGGTGGATTTGGATGACTGGAACGTCAGGACCCTTCAGCCTCTCACACCAAATATTTCTTTCCCTTTGCGGCTCAGGTTTTCGTTCATATGCATTTGTATCATAGTTACAGCATTGAGATGTAACTTGATGATTAGCTAACTGCAATTTAACTGGGAGGGAAACTTACGCTTTCTTTCAGTGAAATGATGTGAAGATCTAAGTTATGAGGGTGCGATGCTGGTCAGAATAATACCTTTTTGCTTTAAACGTGTAAGCCAGTGTATAGTTGTTGAAAACAAGTCATTAACTTCTTTTTCTCTAAGAGCCATTGGGAACGTGTCCAGCTTCATGGGAAGGGCTTGTGGGACTTTTATCTTTTTGTTAACTGGGAGAGGTTTCCCATTTTCCTTAGCACATCCAGCTAGCCTGTTCTGGCCTGCTTTACAAACTTGGGCCAGACTTGAAAAGACATCAGCTAGAGGCATTTATAAGCCACACATACCTTGTCAGGTCTTGATGTAATTGCAGACGTGAATCACCTTTGTCTGTTCCTCATGTATGAATGGATTTCTTTCCTTTTCAATTCCAGTGAAAGCAATGGATATCAAGCCTTATAATTTGTTGATAGCAAATCACATGGATGGTAGGAGGACCAAATTCCTTTTCTGGTAAAAAAAAGAAGGAAAAGGTTTTGGCTATTGCAATTTAATCATAAATCTGATATTTTATTTTTTCACATAGACAATTTTTTGAAATACTGAGTGGTTTAGGAACAACAGTTATAGTAACAATGTGCAATGAATAACATTACACATCCTAGATGATGTAAAAAAATGTATATTTGGTTGGTATCACTAGGGGTGCAGCAGGGTTTCTGGAATTCAAACATGTATTGAAAATAGAGAATCTGTATTTTAAACTAATACATAGAATCAAACTTCTCCCCAAACTAATAGGTGCTGGACATATTACAGAAACATGTTCAGTCTCTGATAAATTTCCTCTTAAGATAGATGGGAACTTTACACTGCTCTGTAGTGATATCTGTTGCTACATGAGGCTCTGAGTTGGAGATACAGCTGCTGTTAAGAGCAAACAACATAAAAGGAATAATTTAAGGTGTTCTCAGAAAAGGAAGTTGCTGGCTGTACTCAGACTCTAAAATTAAATTCTGCTGCAGCACATAATCTTATTTTTGGCCTTGTAGGAAGTTGTATTCTTTGGCCAAAATTTAACTCATATACATTTTTCCTTACAGAAGTGATTTGTAATCCTTCTATAAAGGGAATGATTGTCCAAATGTGGCATTTCTGTTATTTAAGTGAATGGAAAAAGCAGGAAATACAATCTTTACTCTTATTGTGTGTTTACCTACAGAAAACTGAAAATGCAAACCATTCTGTAATCCTGTTTATAAGGCATGAAGTTACTTTTGTTTTGCTTAACCAAATGGCCGAAATGCTGCCAGCAGTATGTCTGGAATGTTATTTACTTGGTCCATTTCTGTGGTTTTTCTTCATAGCACTGTATACATGCCACAGTTAGCAGTCATTTACTTACCACTGACCAAAGTAGTACCCCCAAAGCTGCATCTATTCATCTCATTGGGGGCTTAATAGTAAAAGGCTCATCATGTTCTGCAGCTTTTGTGCTCACACTTTCCCCCCATCTCTCCCTCCCTCCCTTCTCTTAATCAGAATTGCTTTTGGCAAAGACTTGGAGAGCTGCTTTTCTTTTCTTACTTTGTTCTCTGTGACTTGATTTCTCTTAGTGCTTTAATTTCTTACATTGTTTCTTACAATGCCAACTGATTGAAATTGTATAACTTGCTTTGCTGAATGGCTATTATTTTTTAATAAGGAGATGGTTATTGAGTATGTTTTTCTATTTAATTGTGTATCATATTTTTGGTCTTGGTTTGAAACATTCAACTCGTTGCAAGAAAAGTGTGGGTGTTTTTAACATTTCCAGCGGAAGGGTAGGGCGGGTGGGGAAGCTCTTTGGAATGCTGACGAATAATATTTGACTCTTGGAAATGTCTTAAGGCCATGTGCTCCCCTCCCATGCTTGGAAGGCTAGACATAGTTGTAAAGACCTGTGGTCTTGAAGGTATTACCATTGTGCTTTATTTCCTTTCTAACTGGCTGGAGTTGAGAAAACAGTTGAAATGCTGAGGGTTACTGCAGGAGTACTTTGCAGATGGTGGTCTTCCTTTGTGCCCTTGCTATTCCCATCTGTGGCATGGTGCCCTGTTAATCCCTTGCATGTTAGTCACGGGGCTTAATTCTGCTACTTTTCCTTCCTAGATGTACTTAATTTCAAAAACTGCATAACTTTTGAAATGTTAATGTTTGTAATGTCTATAAGCATAGCAGAAATTGCCTTACAGCAGAACACGAGTAGGGAACTGCAGTAACTTGCAATTCAGTGTGTTTTCAATAGCAGAGCAATAATTCATAACATTTTTCCCCGTGATTTCTTCTAGTACTTGAGTCCAAAGCAAAGTAGATATAGATGGGGTTGTTCTCCCCTGTTTTGAAAAGGAGATATTTAGTGAATATAGAGTCTCCTCCTGACTTCTGTGCTTGTGGTAAAGGGTGTTTTCCTTCTTCTGCGTTTGCAGAAATGATCAATTCTTATCATCAGATGGTATCTTTTTAGCTTATTTTAAGTTCTAATAAGCACATGTGTTTTACTATACATGACTCTTGTTGCCTTTGGATAGTCATTTGTTTTCTTTATAAAATGTTTCTGCTTTATTTATTTCCAGCTTTGATAATTTAACTGATAAATATCTGCTGCCTATATGCACACCTGCTCATCTTTCATGGTCCTGGCTTATATATAAAATGCTTCTATTGAAATAAATCAGTCTTGTAATTTGAAAAATAACAAACTTTAATTTACTTCTTACAGGTCATAGGTGTTTGACAGTTGAATACAAACCAACTGCTTGGCAGGATTTTAGTTTGATTCTCTGCCAACCAATAATAAAGTACAACCTAATTTCTAAAAACACCTGAGCTGTAAACTATCAGTCATGACCTAAGCATGCATATAGTAATAGAGGCTGACAAGACTAATAAAGCCTATATATTATTATGGCCTTGCAGTGCATATTATAACAGGTCAGTAATGTATTTTGTCACTCATTCTGTTGTGCAGCCCACACATCATCTTCCTGTCTCAGAGTGTACTGTCGGGAGGGACCCAGCTCTGTGGAACACGTCTGTGCCATGAAATTGCTCATGCTTGGTTTGGACTGGCCATTGGTGCTCGCGATTGGACTGAAGAGTGGATAAGTGAAGGGTTTGCCACTTTTTTAGAAGATGTATTTTGGGCTAGGGCACAACAGGTAAGGTGATGATACATCACTTCTCAATTCAGTTATGCGGAAATCAAAATTATATACCCTGCTGTGAATTGGGTATAAATTAAAACTCCTGTGTTAGGAATGTAAAATAAAATTTTAAAATAATACCGGAATTCGCATACTAACTTGATTAAAAAAGAATAATCCTTCCTTATCCACAGTGAATACTAGTCTTTACAGAGGTAGAGGTCAGTGCAAATAAGAATGGAAACATCTGTTTGTCAATGATTACCTTCCCACAAATGTACTACTCCATTATATTATTCAATTGCTTTGCATTCTTTCCACTTGTATTGTGTTCCCGAAACTAGAACAATCAGCAATCTTACTGAATATTGTAACATTCCAGGTACCTAATGAAAATGGTCTGGTTTTGTCCAGTGGATAGCCAAGAAGCAATCTTCAAAACAAAATGGAAGCTAATGAAATAGGGTAGCAGTACTTACACTTTTTTTCTCTTATACTGCCCAGGAAAACTTATGCCCATATCAGAGGCTTAGAAATCATTGCTGCCTCAAAGTGAAAAGCTCATACACTGCATGACAGCTAGTAAAGTGGTTTCCTAATCTAATTCTTGTTTTTGTTGCACTCCAGCTGCTTCAAGCATTTTGTATGTTAGTCATTTATTCATGTGCTTGTGTCAGGCCCTGGTTCTACCCCTGAAGACTGTAGAGCTTTATCTGTGGAAGAGCAAGATGGGATTGGGAACTAATATCATATCTAACCTCCATTCTGTTAAGTACAGGAATATTTATAGCACCAACCAGAACAGAATTCCTTGTCACTTACACTTCCTTGTTTCCGGAACAAGAAAGAGAGAACGGCTGTCCAAACACTTTGCTTTTCCCTTCTGGTTGTGAGACTAATTTCTGCCCTTACTTGACCATCACTCCTCTGCTGTGAGCTGTACCCATTAATTCTGTGCTTTCAAGAGTCACTTGAAAGCATTTCTATTGTAGTAGACACCCTTCCATGTAGCTAAATGGAAAGGAGTAAGCAGCAAAACAGGGTGATTAGTGCCTTTGTTAATTTCTAAGGTGATAAAATTGGGGTTTTTTTTGGTTTTTTAGCATTATTGAGTAGTTTTGGTGCTGTGCAATTATGCAATTGTACAGTTGTAGGATTATGAGTATATTCCATAGTGCCTGACAGCAACTTCACTTGTGACCGAAATACTGGTGTAATGCAGGACAATATTAGCTGCTTTTGCTTTCTCCCATCTCCCATCTTTTCTTATAATAGAGAAATATAAATTAGTAGTTATTTGTAAGATGACAACCTGGCATTTATTTTGTAAGCAAGCATCTCTGTTAATACTATGTATATGGGGGAAAGTACAACAGGGAGCTTTCACAAATGTAGCAGAAGTAGTAGGAAAGAGGAGTGAGGTCAGGATACGGAGCAGCTCATTTCTTTCAAGCTGGGAAAAGTAAAGATGCAACCAAAACTGCCAGGTATCTGTGCTGTACATTCAGTTCACTCATTGCCAGTCACTAAAGGGAAAACAACATGCCCATCTCTCTCCTCAGGCAGAACTATTTAACTGACTATTGATTTGATGCACACAGTGAGGCTTCTGTTTTCCTTAGTGCTGCTATTAACTCTCATAGCAGCAACTGTTATGTTTTGATTTTGTTGTCTGGGTTTTGTTTTGTTGGGTTTTTTTATCATGGGTATAGATAGTGTTTCCTGTGTCTTCTGCACGTTAAAGGGAAACACAACAAGTTTGTCTTTCTGAAAATTATTATTGTCTGTTGGGAAACAGCAATCACTGATCTGTGTTTTTTGTATACTAAGCAGCTGTCACATGATGAAGTAAAAGGGCAGCAGGAATGGCGCCGGCTCAGAGATGAGGTGCAAAACTCTGAAGAAGAGCTGCAAGTTTTAAGGTAACAATATGACAGTTTAATTTCTGCTTTAGCATTTTCTGTCTTTACTGTATTCTGCCATTTTCTCCCTTCAAAGGATATACATCCAAATCATCTGATTAAATCCACTGCATTTCCTTATTTCCTCTGAAGAAAAAAGAAAAGTGAAATTAAATTGACTAGGTTATTCGTCTTCTGCGTAATGCAATTGCTTTTCTCTTTGTTACAGAATGCTTTCAAAAAACACGGGATTTAGTTTGATATAAAATGTCTCTAAGCAGTTTACAAGAGCCTTTATTCAGGGGAAAAAAAGGCCATTTCCTGAACACACTTCACCGTTTGAAGCCATAACAGATTCATTTTCTGTGGCTGAAGACAAGCACATTACCAGAGTATGATATCTAACTGCCAAGCTGAATGAAAATTAAAAAGCAGAGGAAAAAGCACAATGAGCTAAACAAATCTAATTTTATTTTTTTTTTATTTTTTTTTTAGAAGTTACTAATAATCATATTTAAACAAGGTTTTGGTCTTTAGGTACCAGATGCTGAGCTCAAGGCTTCTTCTTAGATAGCTAAAGACATCAGATCAAAAAAAGATTCTTGCTTTGGTAGTGGTAAATAATCTGAGCTGTTCTGATTGATGTTTTGGGAATTTGCCATAGTCTTTTACCTTAAGTGGCTGCCTAACATCTCCACTGCTTGTGTCCCCACAGTCTTTAACCAAGACAAGCAAATTTACTAATCCTAGCTGAGATTATCCCTGGTCAAGTAATGGAATTACAGTGACAGATTTCAGGAGATTATGTAGACCTTTCTCCTACCCTGAGATACAGGCAGCATACACAGCCATTTTAAGCAGGTTTTATCTAACATTTTCTTGGAAAACTTAATAAAAAAGTTTTCACGGTTCCTAGATAAGCTTTTTTAGTGTTAATTAAAAATGCTCAGCTGAAATACTGTTTATTTCAAACAATGTAATTTTCTTTATTTCTTTCACCAAGCAGAAGTGAACAAATTGATCTCCATCCTCTATGTGGTCATCTTTTACATGTTTTTGGAAGACTGTTGCCATTTCATTCTGTTTGAGGTCTTCCCTTCTTTTTGCGATTTTCCCATAGAACCTAAAGCCTTTTACATTTGGGCAACAGAGATTGTTCACCAACATAGAAATTCCTCTCTATGGCCTCATCTAATCTAAAAACGTCACCAACTGCGTAATTCTAGTCTTTCATTGATCTCTTTTACGTCATGTCTATTAATGAATTGTGTATCCTACATATAAGCAGGGTCACTGAAATTATACACTTGCAAAGTGTGCAGTTTGATGATAGGTGTAAATACAAAAGCAGGCTTTATCATGAGCTGTCATAGAGCTGCTGCCAACACAACTACTGATTGACAGATGCTGGGGGTTTTGTTTGTTTGTTTCAAAATAAATATTTTTTAGGAACACTGGTTCTTGTGATATGAGGCTTATCTGGAGGTATGTTTTCCATTTTCAAGGTTATGGAACCACATTTGTCTTCTGCGCTAATTACGTAGTTGTTACTTTTAATAAAATGTCTATGTGGTGTAAATTTTTAAAATCATTTTTCTAAGGCCAAAATATCCTTTGCAGCATGAAACTCAGGAAGGATTGATTGATATTGAAATTGAAACTTAAGCTTGCTATTGACTTCCACAGTTAGTAGACATAAGTCTCAAATAAGCTTGCTGCTTACCTTTTCCATAATGGTATTCTCAATGCTAACACAAAAGAATGACGTATCATTTCTTGTTTGAAAAATATGCTTCTAATGTACACTTCAGAAGCAGAACATGATGCCAGCTTAGGATCCGAGCAATCTTTTCCTCTTTGCTGTCTCTAGTTTCTTGTGGTTGCATTTAAGGACTTGCCACTGGTTTCAGTCAGATATAAATATTGTTTACTATTTTTGTGGCATGGAGTTGAACATATTCTTTCTTTGCATGTTTACGGGTTTGGTTTTTTTCTTTCTGTCTTCCCTTTGAAAGTATGTCCATGTGCTTTCCAGAGTTTGTGTATGACAGAGAAAATTCCAGTCTTGGCATTGCACTGGGTTTTGAGTCTGTACTGGGACTTGTGCTGGTGCATGCTTGTGTTTTTATGCCAGGATATTAAAAGTAAATGATAACAATTTGTTACTTCTTGACAATTATGTCAGGAAGAAAAAAACATCAGCCAACCTGTTCTTCCCAAGCATAAACTTAATCTTCAATTACTTTTTCGTTGCCTGCTGGGCAATCATATGATTTTCTGTGCTTTCCCTGTTCAGACTAGGTGAAAGCCACTCACCAAGCTGATCATCGGCATGATGGTGCTTCTTATTGTGGATATTTGGTATTAAGTTATAGTAGCATCTCATAAGTTGCCTGTGAAAAAAGAAGTCAGGTATGAAAGAGATAGGTAAGTGTCTTTTCAGCAGGCAGCAGCTCTGAAACGCAGCCCCAGCAGTTCTTAGTTTTGAAGAAGAAATTTGCGGCGCTGTAGTGCTCACACAGGGTAAGACATCAGACAGAATCCTGTGTATTTTCTCAGAGTCTGAAGCAAACTTGCAGGTATATAAGCACCTGTGAAATATGTGCTGGCACTCATTCTGCTGGCAATCCATCACTCTCATCCAGTGTCTCATGTTATGACAGCAAAGATTAGAGAAGTCCATTTTCTTCTGTGGAATAAAGCTGATGTTGAAATTGTTTCATGTCCTGGCCCATTAGAACTTAGCTTGTGATTCTTCATTAGACAGTGATTCTTCAAAGACAAACCAGTGTTGATACCTAACTCTAAATTTGTCTGAGTTCCGCTTGAGTTAAGTCTATTTCCGTCCTGAAGCAATGCTCTCTGACTGATCTGTAGGGCTTTAAAAAGTTTTATTCTATTACACAGATAGGAAACACACCTTTCAGGTGGAGTCTCATAGTCTCTGCATAGGTTTTCAGGACCACCTGGTGCATCAGAGCATTTAATTAACAAGTATTTCCTGGTGTATTGTGCTTATACTTTCTACAAAATATTTCTCAGCCTGGCAAACAAAATTTCTGCATCCTTCAGAAATTTTCTAGTATGTAAAATATGCCAGGTAGCAGCTTGATTACTTCAAATCAGCTTTCCTTAAACATTATGCCTAGCATCATCTACTGGGTTAGATGCCAGGTTTTGTAGGTCAGTGTAACACACCTCCAGTCTCTACCTTCAATGTTTTGTAAATATACTAAGCATTGCTTTAAAATAGTGTGCTGAAGTACTGACATACATATGTACAAAGTAAATTTCTGAATATTTATTCTTTTGCAGACATTATCAGGGGTATATATATGCCTCCTTCGCAGAATTAAATTCTTTAGTACAATCATACAGATGGGATACCACTTTGTAGTCACCTGCTAATATCTACACAGGTACAAAGTTGAATGAGGAAGGAAGTATGGTTGCCTAATTTAGAACAATTATGATTAGGGGAGGTAGTGTGGATCCTGTAGCCCATGCTCAAACTCCATTTTTCAAAGTCTATAGATTGAGCTATTTATTATGGGAGAAATGAAGCAGTTTGAGCTTTTTATACTTGCAGAGAACAATGAAAAGTTGTCAGCAGGCCTTCCTTCCAGGAGGCTGATCGGGAATGGAAACAGGTGGACCTCTGCTATTCTAGAGTGGGTCTGCAATGGTTACATTATCTGCTACCATGGGATAAGAAATCAGTTACTGATCTCCTCCTTTCAATGTTGAAAGAAAATATGAACTATAGCATGTTAAAGGAATGTGTTAGGAACAGTGTAAAATTGAATCTGCTTCCTCCCCCCCCCCCCCCCCCCCCCCGCCATTTTATTTCAAATAGTTGTATTTGATCAAGATTTTACTGTGTGAACTGGGTGTCAACTGCACACATCCTAAATATAGTACCTGAAGAGTGAAAAAACCCAGCTTCGCACTCTGGACAAAACTAATAAGAAACCATTGCACAGATAGAAAGAAGGAAGAGTGTTTTCCTCAAAGCAGACATAGATATAAAATAAATTTGATCACAGAGATTAGCTCATGAGAAGTGTATCAGTGGTCTGAAGAATCCTGCACTGCTGTAGCCTATGTTGCCCTTATACTGGAAAAGCAGGAGGAAGGATGTTTGGTTTCCAAGACTGGCCATTTCAAAATCCACACTTAGAATTGGAGAGTTTGCTTCAGTCACAGGGTCAGGCTCCTAAGACAGACATCTGTTCGCAGACCATTGCTAGCTGGCACATTTTCTGAATGGAAGAAAATAAGCAATAGGGGTCTTGAGTACTATGACTGTGAAGGCACTGCTTACAAATGAATTAAAAACTGTTTGCATAGCTTCTCTTTAGTTTCACACTGTGTTAATAAAAGTCTAGAAGTCCTTCACACTTTACTGGTGTGGGTATTTCTTCTGCATGCAGATGAAAGAGGTGATTCGTGCAAGTATAGTCATGTAAACTATTAAAGCACTGTTCAGATATAAGAAGAGAAAACTCCACTTGAACAGAATGACTTCAATATCCTCCCCTTCCCTTTTTAATTCATCTTCCCTTTTCCTTTTCCCCTTTCTCTCTCCCTTCTCCCTTTCCCCTTCTACTTTCCTTTCGCCTTCCCCTACCTCTTTTTGTTCGTTTCTCTTTGTTCATAATGAGTCTGCGCTGTAGAAAGGCATACAATGTGATGCCTTGCTAGCAGTGAAAAGAGTACACCAACTTACTGATGTATTTCATTTGTAACCCAGCTATCTGGTCACCTATGTGCAGAATTGCGTTAGAAGTATGAAATTTGTTTGTTTGTCTGTCTAAGCCAAGTTATTTACTTAGGGTAAAGAAAAATACAGAACTAGTCACAGGTGTCTAAACCTACTATGCCATTCACAATGCTTTCACCTATAAGAACATGCAATGTGTGAGTCATTTCTTTATTTACTTCTCCAAGACTTAATTACTGTATTACCATTTTAGGCCCAAAAAGGAGAGCACAGGAGAAACGACTGAGTCTGGAGCATCCATT